AAAGAGATTTTTGGTCTTGAGGAAGAAGGACAAAAGTAAGAAAAAGTGTTATATAATAAATTGACCTTATTTTTCTTATTTAATATTAGACAAATATCACTAACACTGTTGAGTGTTATCATTAGTCTACATGACTCATATGTATTAATTCATCTTAATTCTCACAAAACTTCATGAGATGAGACCTATCATCATCTTTGTTTGCCTGTTGGGAAAACAAAACAAAACAAAGAAACAAAAACGAGATATCAAATGTTCATGCAGCTTGCATCAAAGCCAGAACCTGAACTTAAAGTCTTGTTCCAGAATCCATTCAATCACCACACCATGCTACATTTTCTAAATTACAGTTGCATAAGGAATTTAAATTGACAGCCATGAAGAGACACCTTTATACCTGATTTCACCCACATAAAAAAAAAGATAATTGCAATTACACATAAAAAATATTTCATTAGCTTAGAATACATTTGACAAAGAATGAGATCTGCATATTATGTGTCCAAAAGAAGCCTAATATCCAGCTGTACAAAGAAAACATAAATCAAAAAAAACAAAACAATACCCTGGTAAAGAATTACAGATGCTTACCGGTGGGTGTGGTGTAGCAACATATATCTGAGCAGGTGTGAATATGTTCCCCCAAATCATATACAATTGTGTAAACCAATGTCACATCAATAAAATAAATAAATACAACCTAATTATAAAATAGGCAGAGAACACTTTCTCAAGATATGCAAATGGCTAGTACACGCAGAAAGATGCTCATTATATTTAAGATGCTCTTTATCTTAAGTTAGGGACATGCAAATCAAAACAGTAAGGAGCTCCTATCTATAAAAATGACAACTATTCAAATAGCAAGAAACAAGTGTTGGAGAAAATGTGAAGAAAAGGAAACCCTGAATTTATATTGACTCAGACATTATGGGAATCAGCCTAGGTATTACTCAAAAATTAAAAATAGAAGTTTCATATTATCCAGTTATTCTACTTATAAGCATTTACTTAAATACTTAGAAAAACACAAAACCCTAATATGAAGATATGTTTGTTGCAGCATTTGTTATAATCACCAATAACTGGGAAAACCTACCCGTTTGCTACTGCATTTCTTTATCCACTATAAAGAGACACAACAAATGTACATAATACTATTCTGCTTTAAACAGAAGAAAGAATTATTGCCACTTGCAATAATGTGGATGGCCCTAGAGGGTAGTATGCTTAGTGGAATAAACCTGATAGACAAAGCAAACAGTATGATTTTATTCATATGTGATATACAGGGAATACAAAGAGGGAAACAAATAAAACACATTTTGCATCATAAGGCAAATTAGTGGTTACTTATGGGAGGTCATGGATAAATCAAGTCAAAGGGGAGATTATATGGTGAAGGATACAATTGGACATTTAAAGGTGAACTTAATATAGTATGTACATGCTGATTTCAAGTGTTGCATACCCAAAACTTCTATGTTATGACTTAGTGTTGCTTCAATATAAAAGTAAAATAGTAACTTGCTACCTGGTTAGGCAGGCCCTCCTCTCCACCGCAGCCTGTCAATTTGAACATTATCCTGGCCATGCCAATACTACTCCAGAGATAAAATGGAATGTGGGCATCACAAGGTCAAAACTTGGGTAAAAGGTGTGAAAATAATTTGCAGTGAATGTGACTGGGGCTTTCATGAGTCTACCACCTTCTCAAAAAGAGTTCTTTCTCCTACAGCATTGGGCCAAATTTGGGGATCCCCCCCAAGAGTGTGATATGGCCAGAGTCAAGGGTAAAGGAAGCAGCAATATGAGTGAGGAAAAGTAAATGAATGAGGAGCAGAGTGCACATTCCAAATTGTGGGTATAATTTCAGGACTATTTCCCTTTTTTACCTGCAAATTAAAATGGTGATGGATGGAAATAAAACTTGTGCTAGTGACCTTGATGTAGTATTTACATAAATAGAATTCCAATGCTGCGCACCTAAAACATATAATGCTTTAAACAAAGGTTTTCTCAATAAAACTTCATTAAAATATATACATGTATTTATGCTTAATACATAAATAAAGACCTAAACAGAATAAAAGGGGTTCTGTTTTTCCAAAAAGAAAATTTATGCTCTAACTCTCTACTGCTTGTATTTATCAACAGCACATGAAATCAAAATTCAAAAGTTCTTAAGAATAAAAAAAATGGACACAAGTCATGGGCAGTGGAAAGTGAAGGAAATCTACAAAAATTGTGTTGATTATGGAAAATTTGGCACAGGAAATTATGTTTGGCTGAAAACCTGTTTAAACCAGCAGTCAAATGGGCAAGACAATTATTTGTTCAATGATGGATTATCTGTGTCTCTAATATTAATGCTTTCGGGAAATAGAGTATCTTTGTATGTCTACACTGGGCACTATGGAGATAGAAATCAATCTTCCACAGTGTCTGTCTAGGGTGGAATAGCAAATGAGGAGGAGTCTATAACTCACGGTTTGAAAAAGGATGGTTATTGGGCTAAGTAAGAGGAAACAGCAAAACTGAAGACATGGAAAAAAGAACAAATTAACTTAGTTCTTGGGAGAGTCTAGTCCAATTTGTTTTGTGAGAATATAAACATTCTGAGGAGTGTTGCAATATGGTGAGGCACAGGGTACCCAGTGACAGTGTGAAGACATTGATTCTGAATCACATACATTTAGATTTGGTTCAGCTTTGCAGCATAAAAGTTGAAGGGTGCTAGCTAGGTTAGGTCACCCCAATAGGCTGTTTCCTTATATATGTTTTTTTTTTTTTTTTTATCTCCGTGGGTGAAAGGAGATAATGTGACACATTTAGCATGATACCTAGAAAAAAAAAATTTACTTACTGTTTTCTGTTTTTGTCATTATCATGATTGTTTAAAAATTATATGGTGATGGTCTTGAAAAACACATGAGGTCGACTTTGATATTGTATGCAATGCTAAATTCTTAAGTGAACAATTGCACCTGGAAATACATTGATGTTACATTGGAAATAGATAATATGAACATATGACTTTGATCTCTTGCCAATGATGGGAATCTTTATCTTCCCTAATTGAAAGTTGGAAAAACCACCTCTTGATTTTTCAGAAATACCCTATTAAATTTTCCAATGGTCAATACTCTAGGGACTTAAATGCCTTTATTCTGACTGTTTGGACTACTTTATTAATTATACACATATTCAAAGGCACAGAACAGGGACTTGAAAGGAGGTAGAATGCAAATTAGATTTTTCTACTTGCCCGGAGAAGTTTAATGCTATTGACCAACTGTAGACTTTGTGTGACTCTCATTGTTTCTTAATATTCCTTTTCCCCTGAATGTATTTTCTGGATTACTCCCCCATGCTTTAGAGGAAGGGACGGTGAAGGAAATGACCACACAATGGACAATTGTGCAATTTCAGAGCACAACTTTCTGGTACATATTAAGTATTTGTATTTAATAAGTACCTTAAGAGATCACATTGTATATAATTCAAATTATGTAAAGCTGTATTGAAAATAAATGATGCCTGTATCTTATTTTTATAAGAATACTGTTAATTACTAAATAATGATTCAATTATTTGCAACTGGGTTAACCACATGCATGGTATATTGTAATATACCAATTTTACTTTAATTCCAGGCAGTAAATAATCAAACATAATTTTCAAATACTTCCATTTAATACCAAATCATATTCTCCATTAGTAGAAAAATAGGACTATCTGAATATACTCACATTGTCCTAAAAAAAAAAAATCCTGTTACTGTCTGAATAATTTTTTCCTTAACCAATTCAGATTTTCTTTGTACATTTTTTTGTCTTGAAGGTTGATTTTTCTATTTGCAACATGTGAAAAAAAATTCTTATCACAAAATGATTTGAAAATTTAAAGTTAATATGTGATTTCTGATGATAGCTGTAAAAATTTAACTAAGCCTCTAGCTTAACTTAAGTGCACTTGTCTTTGTAGTGCTATAATGACATGTCAGTCAGGAAAGATCGCAGCTACATTTTTTTTTTCTTAGTAATCCAATTACTTGTGCAAGATTCCTATTCAAATCCATACTGTTGGGGTCAGGGACATTACCAGTTTTATGGAAGCCTTCCTTCAGTGTTCCTTGCAATTATATTGGTGTCGAATTTGAATACACATTCCAGTTCTATCATTCAAACATTTCATTGCATTTTGGTCTGCAGATGGAACAAAAAATAAGTAACAGAACATCCTTTGTAAAAGAAAACATTTCTGCCTCTTCAACAGATTTTACATGATTAGACAATACAAAGACCTGCAACAATCTTTCTTACCTTACTCCACTTAGCACTGTGACATTGGGCACTTACACTCCTAGATGGCATCAGCACAGAATGTGAGCATCTCTGAAATCAGGAATTTCCCTGACCTGTCAGATGCGAGAGAGTGTGAAAAGGAGCTGGCTGGTTGGAAAGAACATGAAGAATTATGGGAAATGTAGTAGGAAGTAGTCATTCAATAACAGTGCTGCAAGGACAGGGAGAGAGACAGCAGCATTTGAGGTGCAAAGACCCTGATATTTGAACTGACTTGGTCTGTGCTCACCCAGGGGAGTCAAATATGGAACTCTAGTAGATTAAATAAAATTGTTGCATGCAAGTCATGTCACCATGTTTTTGGATTCTGTACCTTGGGAAATGGATATAAATATGCTGTGTATCAAAGCCTCGAATATGGAACAGCCTGGTGTGAAGCTAAACTTACTAAAGTACTCAATTTAGCTCTGTCAATCCTGCACAGAGCATTCAGAGGGTGTTAAAACTCTGGTAGCCTCTGCTTCAGAATAACACTGTGTTTTATTTGGCTCACATTATCTGTTAAAAAAAAAAAAAAAGCCAGCGTGTTCAAAACTGAGATATGTAAGGTAAATAAATACTCAATTTCTGGCTTTTCTTTGAAATTGGTATATCTGGCGATACTGAACCCAGATTTCCTTGTTGCCACAACAGAGTAAAACTGAGAGAGGAATATGATTGAGCAAGGAAAAAAGTTCTGAACGGTCCTCACTGTTTCTTCCTGCTCCACGGGTAAGATGACCGATGATTGATGGATGTTTATCAGAAAACTTATAGCTTCTCTTATAGCTTATAATAGAAAAGTATCTTTTTCACCAGTTACATTTTATTTGCCTTCTTGGGAACTTACTAGGAATTTGAATTAGTGATGCCTGCTTTTTGGATCTCCATTATCCAATCAAATTTGAATTGGATTCAACCTGACATACATCTGATTTTCTCTACCTGTTCCTGGGTCACTCTTTCAGCCTGGTGCTACCGAAAGAGGCACAGGTGGCAGTGTTAGTGGAATGTTCCACGGAAGGAAAAGGCTTCCTCTCACTGATCTCAAGATCTCTCAAGACATAGAGGCTTCCCAGAATTTCAATACAGTGGAGTGGTAAGTACTCTAAAGCAGCAGGTTTATAAAATGTTTTTGGTCCCAAACTATACAGGAGAGCATTATCCATTCAAACTCTCAGGCTAGGAGATATAAGCAGCTTTAATTTTGGAGTTTACACCTGGACTTTTCTCTGAAGAACTTTATGAAACTTTGTAAACTTGCATTTAATAATTATGGAAATAATAATGTTTACAAGTCTTCGATATTGCCTTTTTGAAGTTACTCTTTTTCTTTGGTATGAAAATTGCCACCTATTTTGGGACCCCCCCTTTCTTCTCTCCATCCTCTTCAGAATAAAACTCTGAAACTTCAGAATCATTTGCATCTCCATTTTGCTTTCAAGTACCCTCGGGATTCAAGAAGCTATAAGGCCCTCAACTAATTCTAAGTTAGCTATCCTATGGCTAAAATGTTCTTATATTGGCCAGCCTGAAATAGTTTAGAATTTGCAAGAATATTTGTTTTCTGATATCCAACAAACTGGCCTGAATAATCTGAGGGATATGTGCATATAGAAATAGACAATGATGGAACTTTTTCTAAACTCTTAGGGTAATTTGAAATTCAAAAACACTGACTTTGACAAATCATTTCCTAACACCCATACTTATCATTAATTAAGATCTTTCTCTGTAGAATCAAACAGTAAGCTTTTTCTTATATTCTGCTTTTCTGATTTATTTCAAGAATGATTTTATCTTTAGTAATTTATAATGTACAAGACAGAATTAACACAGCTTGGTTTATTTTGGTTTTAAGTGATCTATTTATAAATCCCGGAACTGCTGGCTTTTATAAAGATAATTGAAAGAAGATGAATGGCCAACATTAGAGTTAGAATATGGAACAAGACTGACCGAAGTATAATCTATAGCCTGAAAAATCAAACTGTTGCTTTTTGAGTTGAAGCAAATGCTATTTTCTTGTAAAAGTACAGATTTATTTATTATAAATATGCTAAATAATTACACAAAATTTCAAAAAGAAAAATAGAATCTTCATCTACCATCTACCCACCTGTCTCATTAAATAATCAAATAGAATTAAGAAGATATTTTCTGGAAGGGGTTATACGAGTGAAATAAATCTGAAGGAGAAACACAAATACAAAATGATTCCACTCACATGTGGGATGTAGAGAAACAAAGCTCAGGGCCAGTTAAGGGTCAGGTAAAATAAACAAAAAATATATCCTAGAAATATGACTGTAGAACTGAGGTTACCAGATGGGTTGGGAGTCAGGGGGGAGTGTGTGTCCCAAAGGACTATGGCAGAGAAATATGGATGCTTGGTGCTTGGTGGTGAGTGTGGTTGTAACAGCTATCTGAGGAGGTGTGAGCCTATATCTCTGAGTCAAATACGATATTGTAACCAATATTACTTCAATTAAAAAAATTAATTCTCTAGAGACATGTTTAATATAAGTGCGATGCAATGCATATGTCTATGTATAATATTGCTGTAATTATTAGTTTTATCTGTCAAAAATATCTTGAACTATGGAAATGTACCCTAAAAGCAACAATAGACACTGGATTTCCAAAATAACCCTAAATTTTGATATTTTTTAAAGATTTATTTATTTGTACATACAGAACTGGGTTATAGGCCTGAGGTGCAGGGGCAGTGAGAAGATTCACCAGAGACAGAGTGGGGAGCAGGACAGGAAGACTGAGCACACTGCTGAGGGGAGCAGAGGTCAGGAGAGGTCTGCTGTGCCATGTGGGTTACCTCTGGGGTGGGGATAGAACTCATTCTGCAGTGGCTTTAGCTTCTTAGTGCTGTGCTTTAACCCACCGTGCCACCAGGGAGGGCCCAAAATTTAGATATTGTAGTCATATTTATCATTTTCCATATCAGAAAACGATATCAACTTCCATTTCAAATTCAAAAATCTTTGATACTTCATCTCCAAACAATTAAACATCTGACATTTTAAAATGTAATTTGCGTTCCCTTTTTCCAATAATGATTAATGGAAACTGATGTATTCTTTATCAGATACAAGTACAACTAATGAAGTAGATCAATTTGGATCAAAATTTGAAAGCTATCAATCAAAATTTTGGAAAAAGTAGTCTGGGCCCTTAAATTATAAAATTAGACCCAAACTTAATGGAGGAAGAGTCAACAAAGAGCACTTTCCTTCTTAATTCTTTTTTGGGTTTCACAAAATATAGCTCATAAATGGACAGAACATTTTAGAAATCGGTGAAGAACAAGAAATTCCCCTTAGAGTGCTATCCACATCCTCCATTGTTACAACTGAATTTCTATAAAATATTTGATACTCTTCTGATATATTCTTGATCCCACTGTTTGATGGAAAAGCATTTAGGGAAAAAAAATAGTAAGGGTAAGATTGGTTTATAATTATAAACCAATAATTAATAAGATTGGTGTATAATTAGCAGTACAAGAACAGACATCTTCAGATGCATGTTACCACACCACACCCAACACCAGCATGACCATAACCTTCCACCATTGTCCACTCTTGTAAGTATCTATTGTTAGAATATGAAATGACTTAGTAGTGGACGGTAGTGGCTATTTGAATGAACGCAGGGTGGTAGTGGGGTAGAATATATTCTTGTTTGCAAGATATTACAGATCTCCTTACAGGCAGGACTCTATTTTAACAAACAATTATGGCTACTGGAAACTGACTTGGTTTTATAAAGTTTAACTGGGCTTCCCTATGTTTACAATATAGTATCCACATGTCATAGGAGGCTCCAGTGGTTCCAGGAAAGCTAGTCATATATGGGCAGGGAACAAAAATGTGGAATTTAATGGAGAAATATATATTACCTTGTTAATCTGGCTATATAAAATCCAACTCTTCGCAGTGGATTTGTAAAACATAAGTGCAAAACCTAATTGTAAGATATAAGTAGGAGGGAAGTCAGACTAAGGAACGGTGTGCAGTTAAGTCTCTGCTTAGGAGATATGTACTAATTTGACATGTATTTATAAATGATTATTATAATCCATGTATCTGTTAGAGCTGGGAATAAAATTGAATAAAATATAGACCCTATTCTCAAGGATCTCTAGTTTAAGGAATTGTTTAGGCTACTGACAGCTCATATGTAAATACCAATCAAATATGTAAATAGCTAATTTATAAAGACATCAGAGATTATGCAGGCTTTGATGAGGCAATTTATCCTGAGGGATTATGAATAAGGAGATAAAACATTCCCCAGATGAAGAAACAGACTAAGCAAATACACTAAATGGACTATGTTCAGGGCAACAGAAGTATTTCATCCTTGGTTGAATATAACATGAAAGTCAATGTATGGTTAAAGTGAACGCTGGTGAAATTGCCAGATCAAGAAAATAATTATTTTCCAATCTCTTTTTCTATTTTGTACATGACGGGAAGTCATCAGAGAAATTTTAGCAGGGGTGTTTTATAGAAAACATTTTCCTTCTGCTATGATTATTCCAGACCTTTGTAAATGATAGGAAAGATTAAACTAGAAAGTAAAGATTATAGTCTGGAGGCTACTACAGAGGTTCTTCTGAGCAAAGATGAGATTTGATCCATGAGAGTAAGTTTAGTTGGGTTAATGATGGAATTGATAGCAGAGTTGAAATGTGTTTAGGATACAAAAGACCAAAAGAAAAAAATTATGAAGCTGTTATGGCACCACTAATACTATGTGTTTAGCATACCCCTTTACTCAGGGTTATGGGTAGACTATATTCACAACCTTCATTACAGTTATGGTGACTTTATGATTGTGTACAGGCTGGTGAAATAAAGTTACAATTATTATGTGTTATTATGTGTTCTTTCTGGTCCTGACTCATCAAAACCTTTTGTAGTCCTCCAGTTGTTCCTTTTATTCCTTGGATGCTGTGTTCTAGAAGTACCCAAGACCTTCATAGAGGGAATAGTAATTTAGACTTCATAGTTATTTCATCAGTGATGTTTTCTCTTAACTCTCATTTCTCACATTTCATCCTAAAGCAAGAATATAGGGCAAGCAAAAATTCCTCCTGAAATAGAAATCAAAGGCTATTAGTTTTTGCTCATAGAGAAAGAATTTCATGAAATGAGGTTGCCTATTAAATAAGTCTCCTGTGGTGCTGATGACAAAATCAATACCATGATGGAGACATCAAACAGCTCTTTTGAGAGACTTTTTCTGAAATATTCAGGTTAAGTTGGAAGCTTCTCCTGAGCACTGGCCTGTCAAACTAAACTTGCCTCTGACATAGCTCTCTGTGTGATAGAATTAGGTTTCTATAAGACTCTCCAATAATAAATGCAGTCCCTTAAGAATGGAGACTGTCACTGGTTTATTTATATTTCTTGTATACTTTAAAGACTCCTTGGTGCATTGTAGCAATCATTAACTTGTAATTGAAGACAATACTGCAAATAAGTGAATTATTGAATAAATAAGTGAATGAATATTCTCATACTTAAAGAGAGAATTCTTTGAACTAGTGCCAGACCACACAGATAAAAGCTATAACTTCTTTCCTTAAAAAAAACAAAGAAACAAAAGAGAAAATAGGAAAATAAACTTTTCCATTGTCCCTAGCAAAAATACATGTAAGAGAACATACCTAATTATACACACAATAGCTACAGTGGTTATCTTATTTGTGTAGGAATACTAAAGAAGACAAATAAGAAACTATAAGGACTAAAATGTGTTCTATTGAATTCAAGAGTCAAGCTGCATTCCATGATTTCATTGGCAAGAGACAATTGTCTGGCCTGGCATTCTATACCTCAGGAAGAGAAATGTTACTTAACAGTTAAAGTCACTGCATTGCAGCAAGGGTGTTAATTCCAGAGAACCTAGCAGTTTATACGGGTCTTCTGGGTTTGCTAAGCAAAAAAAAGAGATGGAAATGAGTTCTGCAGATTCTTAAAGGTTACTAAATCTTCACTTTGCATGAAATTCTTTAGCTTTTATTTTGAATTCATTCCCTTTTGTGAGAAAATATGAGAAAGGCAATCAGATACT